GATTTTTAGACTTTCAACAAAAATTAAACATTTTTTCCCGATTATTTATGGAGTTAATCAATCTGTGCATTGAGGGGCTCATATATATAATATAATATATAATATATATAATAAAATCTTAAATATTATTTATCAAAAGTAAGATTATCTCAGGATGACACGGCAATTTATTTGAGACAAGAATAATGATACAATTCCAAGGCGAAGATACTATTCCTTTAACTTCCAATTACCGAGGGAACCAATTAATATTGATTTTATTCAACTTATCGAGTATTTTTCAAGGGACCGGAAAAAAAATGTTCACTAGATAAAACGATGATTTTGTAATGTAGAAAATTAGGAAAGATAAAATTCAGGATGACACGGCACACAGGGACCGGGAAAAAATGTTCACTTTATCGAGAGATTCAAATTTACAAGTTTCAAATTATCAAAATATATCTTCTTTTTTAAATAAGTTTATAGAGAATTGTTTTAACAAATGTTCGTTAGACAAACCTTTACTCGGGTAAAAACCCGGGCGAAGCCGGGCACATCCGCTAGTATGATATAAAAAGCCAACAATGAAGAGTGAATGTAATATAAAAAGCCAACAATGAAGAATGAATGTAAGATAAAAAGCCAACAATGAAGAGTGAATGTAATATAAAAAGCCAACAATGAAGAATGAATGTAAGATAAAAAGCCAACAATGAAGAGTGAATGTAATATAAAAAGCCAACAATGAAGAATTAATGTAAGATAAAAAGCCAACAACAAAGAGTGAATGTAAGATAAAAAGCCAACAATGAATAGTAAATGTAATAGAAAAAGCCAACAATGAAGAATGAATGTAAGATAAAAAGCCAACAATGAAGAGTAAATATAATATAAAAAGCCAACAATGAAAAATGAATGTAAGATAAAAAGCCAACAATGAAGAGTAAATATAATATAAAAAGCCAACAATGAAGAGTAAATATAATATAAAAAGCCAACAATGAAGAGTGAATGTAAGATAAAAAGCCAACAATGAAGAGTAAATGTAATATAAAAAGCCAACAGAGTGAATGTAATATAAAAAGCCAACAATGAAGAATGAATGTAAGATAAAAAGCCAACAATGAAGAGTGAATGTAATATAAAAAGCCAACAATGAAGAATGAATGTAAGATAAAAAGCCAACAATGAAGAGTGAATGTAAGATAAAAAGCCAACAATGAAGAGTAAATGTAATATAAAAAGCCAACAATGAAGAATGAATGTAAGATAAAAAGCCAACAAAGAAGAGTAAATCTACTTATATATTTGCCTTATTCTGTCTGTTTGTCTGAAGCTCAAGGATGGGATTTTTCATAACCATCGGTGGTTCAGTGGTAGAATGCTCGCCTGCCACGCGGGCGGCCCGGGTTCGATTCCCGGCCGATGCATTTTTTTTTTTACAATTTTTAAAACTCATTTATATATTATACTAGCGGATGTGTACCCGGCTTCGCCCGGGTTTTATCTGAGTGAAAGTTTGCCTAACGAATATTATATATTATGAAGTATAATAAACAATGTTAAAGATTAGTTTTAATTATTAATCAAGATTGTGTGTGAATGTGAGAAAGATGTAATATCGTTGTTGTTTTCTTGGCCGACTGTTTTACATATGGTGTTATCTTAAAATTGCTTGTTTTGAATATTTTTTTAGATTGAGTTGAATGAATTGCTGAATTTTTTTTGTATTTATATATAAATAAAATTAACTCTGTTGATTATTTTTGTATTTAATCGATAACAGCGAAGTTACGCATGTTAAAGTTAGGAAATATATTTTAATGTTAAGCAAAACCTGCTCCATCTCGTTTTGCATAAATGTTGAAAATTTGGTCGAAATTGATGCATTGTAACGAAAGTTTTTAGTGAACAACACTTATGAAATTTCCATTTTATTAATATAGACAAGAATGACATCCACGGCGCCAATTTATAATTGTAACGAATAGTATTTGAACAAAAGCATTTAATCGGGTAAAACCCGGGCGTTGCCCGGGTCATTCGTATATAATAATTGTATAAACGAATGCAAGACAAAATCACCGCGAATGTTTCTTTTTTTTAAGGCAATTTCTTTTTAAGGCAATTATCGTTATTTATCGTTAATTTTTGTTTCGATTTTATTGAAAAAAAAACGATATGGTGCCTTTAAAAAATGATCTTTATTACTATGCAGTTTTCTATTTAGTCAATATACCTAAGTTCATGTTGCAAATGTAATTATCTCTATCGATTTAGTAGGTGAAATGCAAAAAAAAAAAAATCGACATGATATAATCTTTATGAAAATTCACATTTTTATTTTTATATTTTCAAGACACACACAGTTTGGGGCGGGACGTTTCATAAGAGAGACATCCACGGCGCCAATTTATAATTGTAACGAATAGTATTTTAATTAAAACGTTTTAAAAACACACAGTTTGGAACGCGACGTTTCACAAGAGTGACATCCATGGCGCCAATTTATAATTGTAACGAATAGTATTTGAATTAAAACGTTTTTAAAATATATACGCACTCGGGTAAAACCCGGGCGTTGCCCGGGCCATTCGTCTAGTATAATATAAAAAGCCAATAATGAAGAGTGAATGTAAGATAAAAAGCCAACAATGAAGAGTAAATGTAATATAAAAAGCCAACAGAGTGAATGTAAGATAAAAAGCCAACAATGAAGAGTGAATGTAATATAAAAAGCCAACAATGAATAATGAATGTAAGATAAAAAGCCAACAATGAAGAGTGAATGTAATATAAAAAGCCAACAATGAAGAATGAATGTAAGATAAAAAGCCAACAATGAAGAGTGAATGTAAGATAAAAAGCCAACAATGAAGAGTAAATGTAATATTAAAAGCCAACAATGAAGAATGAATGTAAGATAAAAAGCCAACAATGAAGAGTAAATATAATATAAAAAGTCAACAATGAAGAGTAAATGTAATATAAAAAGCCAACAGAGTGAATGTAAGATAAAAAGCCAACAATGAAGAGTGAATGTAATATAAAAAGCCAACAATGAATAATGAATGTAAGATAAAAAGCCAACAATGAAGAGTAAATCTCTATATATATATATAAAAGTCAATTTCTGGCTGTCTGTCTGTTTCGCGATAAACTCAAAAACTACTGAACCAATTGGTACCAAATTTTGCATGTCGCTTTTTATAAACCTGAGGAAAATTTTCGGCTGCATTTTGATTAGTATTTTTGGCGATTTCTTTTTTTCATTTGAAGAACTTTTTTTACGCGGACTAATCCGGAATGGAATGAATACCTAAATATGGCCATTTTTTTTAAGCATCGGTGGTTCAGTGGTAGAATGCTCGCCTGCCACGCGGGCGGCCCGGGTTCGATTCCCAGCCGATGCATTTTTTTTTTACAATTTTTAAAACTCATTTATATTATCTTATATATATAAAATTGAATGTCTGTCTGTCTGTACTCTATAGATTCAAAAACCATACATCCAATCGCCGTGAAATTTTGGGATATTATTAGGTATATCATCGGGAAGGTTTTTGAAAAATAATTTCATGAATATCTTGAATATCCTTAGAGTTATTTGCAGATTTGTAGATTTAACTCGCAAGCAGCGCCCCCATTGTGACGATGATAACAAGTTTTCTTATCACTAAGTTTGTTATCTTAAATATTATTTATCAAAAGTAAGATTATCTCAGGATGACACGGCAATTTATTTGCGACAAGAATAATGATACAATTCCAACGCGAAGATACTATTCCTTTAACTTCCAATTACCGAGGGAACCAATTAATATTGATTTTATTCAACTTATCGAGTATTTCTCAAGGGACCGGGAAAAAATGTTCACTAGATAAAACTATGATTTTCTAATGTAGAAAATTAGGAAAGACAAAATTCAGGATGACAAGGCACACAGGAACCGGGAAAAAATGTTCACTTTATCGAGAGATTCAAATTTACGAGTTTCAAATTATCAAAATATATCTTTTTTATTTTTTAATAAGTTTTCAGAGAATTGTTTTAACAAATGTTCGCTAGACAAACCTTTACTCGGGTAAAACCCCGGGCGAAGCCGAGTACGTTTTATAAGTTTAAAGAGAATTGTTTTAACAAATGTTCGTTAGACAAACATTCACTCGGGTAAAACCCGAGCGAAGCCGGGCACATCCGCTAGTTTATATATAAATACAAAAAAAAAAAAATTCAGCAATTCATTCAACTCAATCTAAAAAAATATTCAAAACAAGCAATTTTAAGATAACACCATATGTAAAACAGTCAGCCAAGAAAACAACAACGATATTACATCTTTCTCACATATTCACACACAATCTTGATTAATAATTAAAACTAATCTTTAACATTGTTTATTATACTTCATAATATATAATATTCGTTAGGCAAACTTTCACTCGGATAAAACCCGGGCGAAGCCGGGTACACATCCGCTAGTATATAGATATATAGAAGACTAGCGGATGTGTACCGGGCTTCGCCCGGGTTTTATCCGAGTGAAAGTTTGCCTAACGAATATTATATATTATGAAGTATAATAAACAATGCTAAAGATTAGTTTTAATTATTAATCAAGATTGTGTGTGAATATGTGAGAAAGATGTAATATCGTTGTTGTTTTCTTGGCCGACTGTTTTACATATGGTGTTATCTTAAAATTGCTTGTTTTGAATATTTTTTTAGATTGAGTTGAATGAATTGCTGAATTTTTTTTTGTATTTATATATAAATAAAATTAACTCTGTTGATTTTTTTGTATTTTATCGATAACAGCAAAGTTATGTATTTTAAAGTTAGGAAAAATATTTTGATGTTAAGCAAAACCTGCTCCATCTCGTTTTACATAAATGTTGAAAATTTGGTCGAAATTGATGCATTGTAACGAAAGTTTTTAGCGAACACCACTTATGAAATTTCCATTTATATAGAAGATATAATATAAATGAGTTTTAAAAATTGTTAAAAAAAAAAATGCATCGGCCGGGAATCGAACCCTGGCCGCCCGCGTGGCAGGCGAGCATTCTACCACTGAACCACCAATGCTTTAAAAAAATCAAATTCATTTATCGTCGCGACCAGTGCTGCGCCCTAGCGGTAAAAGACTGGAACTAACGCTTTTTGGTTTTTTATTTAAAAAAAAAGCACATTAACTTTTTTAGTTTTTTGAATAGCCTATATGTTAAACGAAATCTTCAGCTACCTACATGCGAAATTCCATAATGATTGAGTCAGTAGATTTTGCGTGATGCGATAACAAACATCGATTTCGCATTTCATTTATATATATATAAAGGAAAGGATTACATTGTATGTGATGATGATAACAAAAATGAATTTGTAAGTTAATATACATAATTCATTGAGAAAAAAAAAGAAATAATTAATTCACAAACTTGACAATATCTTATTTAAAATTTAATATATATTTTTCAAAAAATTATGTTTCAAAAATATATTTAAACGCATATAACAATATTTAAATTTATATACGTTTATAAATCTATATATAGGTGGAATGGATGTTTTCTAGAATCGTTTCAACAAATGTTCGTTAGGCAAACTTTTACTCGGGTAAAAACCGGACGAAGCCGGGTACATTCGCTAAATACAGTTATTTACAAATGTTCGTTTGTGGCAAGATACTATTCCTTCAACTTCAAATTACCGAGTGGACTAATTAATATTGATTTTATTCAACTTATCGAGTATTTTTAAAGGGACTGGGAAAAAATTTCAAATTAACGAGAGTATAGACAAGTGTAGATTCATTAGGGATTGGATGTTTGCTAGAATCGTTTTAACAAATGTTCGTTAGGCAAACTTTTACTCGGGTAAAACCGGGCGAAGCTGGGAACATATATATATATATATATATATAAAATAAAAGGATTTAAAAGCGCGAATGTTTCTTTTATACATAAAACGAACTTCTACTGTCCTTACTGCGATGAAAAAATATATATTGGGAGGGCTTGGCTCATCAGTGGTGAACCCTCCCAGCGGTTTCGCCAATTTAATCCACCAGACCGCTTCTCAGTCTGGTGGATTAAATTGGCGAAACCGCTGGGAGGGTTCACCACTGATGAGCCAAGCCCTCCCAATATATATTTTTTCATCGCAGTAAGGACAGTAGAAGTTCGTTTTATGTATAAAAGAAACATTCGCGCTTTTAAATCCTTTTATTTTATATGTATAGATGGCGCGTTATAGCTTTGTGTTAACATATATATATGTTTGTCGGCTATGCACGCCCTCAATATGTAACTAATCTCGCTGAAATTTGAACAGGACAGAGAGTTAAATCTGGAAGAGTTTTTTTGCCGCGATTTAAACAAGAAAAATTATAATTAACCAGGTACTAAAGAACAATATATTTTAGTCAGAAATGATGATGACAATATTGCCGTATCATGCTTGATTGAGATAAGCAAAATTCTTTAGGGGAATATTCACTAAAGCACACCCCGGGCGAA